TGGAAGAAATAAAGCAAAGGAATGTCATGATCTAATTTAAATATTATGAAGATCACTATGGCAGCACTTGCCTGAAATAGATACTCTGCTCTTCAAAAAATCACTTAAGAAATATTGAGGATCTAGCCTAATGTAGTGACAGCGAGTTTGGAAGGGACCCATGTGGTGACTAAGTGATGGTCATGAAGGAAGGAGGAATCTAGGCTGACTCTCAGATGGCACTTCAAATGTTCAGGAGGATAACTGGAACTGATAACCAAAACCAGATTACAGGAAGTAGAACAGGTTTTAAAGAAAAGGTGACTTCGTTTTAGAAATTCTGAGTTTGAGAATGTTTTGAGATATCCATGTTGAGGGGTCTAACGGGCACTTAGAAATCCAATGCCAAGGATCGTAAGAGTGGCCCAAACTGAGATACAGATCTGGGAATACTGTTAGACAGTGAGATTAAATGTAGTCAAGCAAAGAAATTCTGTCAAGTAGCATAAAAATAGGACTGAGGACAGAACCCAGAGGACCAACAAATTTATGAGAAGGTTGTAGTAAGTAGCACAGTCAAGAAAGAGATTGATAAGAGTATTCTGGAAGGCAAGAACTATGTAACACATGAGAAGTGTCAGGAAGAAGAGTGACATGACAGTTTTAAAGGGAGTGAGGCATGAAGTAATACAAAAAGTAAATTTGGCTTTCAGTGATTTGACAACTAGGAAGTTATCAATGACTATAGAAAAAGCTCTTTTAGTAGAATGGCAGTGTCAGAGTCCAAATTGCAATAGGTTGGCAAGGACAGAAAGGGTTGAAATGGAGCCAGAGTTATACTTAACTGGGAACCAAGGAGCAAAAAGAATAAATAATTGCAAGGCACAGAAAATCCAAGAAGGTTTGGCTTTGTGTTTGTTTATTCATATTTAAGATCGGTGGAATATGAATATATTTATCTGATCACACTCAGTTAACTTCACAGGCTGCCTCTAGCTATTGAGTGTATAAATCACACATAAAGCAGGAACCTCACAAATCCTGAAGGAGATTTAGATCTCTCTCTCTCCAGTTGGAACAGCCTCCCACAGGTATAATAAAATCACCTGTGTAATTTACCTTCTCAGCCCAGTCAAAAGACACCTCCTTGGTGATGCTTTATGACACCATCAACGGACTTCCAAGGGAAGTACACATGATGTTCCTTTGTCACCTAGAAATTCCAGGGATGGTTTTGTCAGGTAGTGTGAAACCTCCCTGGGAATTTCAATGGATATAGCTAGAACCATTTGCATGACTCACATCACAGAGTATATTCTTGTTAATAATCTACAAGTCAGTGTGTCCTTTTCCCCATGCTGCTAGTTGGGGATAGGCTCATGACCTTTGTGCTTTCTTGTTAATCTTAAAATTTGAAGTTTCATTGCTTCCTCAATGAAAATGCTAAACAAAACAGCTTAAAAAAAAAAAATTTCCCCCTAACCTTCCACACAAAAAACATGCTCATGTAGGACATTAATTCACATCTACCATTATAAGACAGAGATGGTTGAGACATTCTATTTCCAATGCCACAAATTGGGAAGGATACGTTTATTATAATCACTTACTAATTCTTTGCGAGACCAGACCTACAGCAGAAAACTATTAATTTTCCACAGGAATCTCTAAGCATGTGTATCCTATCATCCATATGCTTTAACTCTCTTACACATTATATTGCTAAATAGACATAGCTCTTTACATAAAGGAAATAATTTCCTTGGGCAAGATGCAGAAGATGTTCAGTTTTCTCCTTCTCTATTTTTTTTTCCTGATCTTCCTCCAAATTTGCATTTTCTCAGCAGAAATTACTCCTGCTAGTGTGATGACAGAAATGTAGGTCAGAAAGCTAGTAAGCAGCAGGTTTCTTCCTCAGTAACTCATTTTTCAGCCAGTGTGCACACTACCCTGTATTATGTAATAGATACAGAGTGGCTCTGGAATCCAATAGCCTTGAACAAATCCTGGCTCCATCATTTACTAGCTTTGTGACATTCAGCGAGTCACTTAACCTTTCTGTGCTTCAGTCTCCTCCTTGGTAAAATAGTGGTGACCACCTCATAAAATGCCACGAGTTTTAAGTGAAAGAAATGCAGATAAACCACTTGTACCCATGCCTGAAATACATAAGCACATCTTCGCTATTATCACTTTTTAGAGCACACAAAAAAATACTCTATTTTATTCGTTTTTAGAATTTACTAATATTTTGAATTACTAGAAAATGAGGACATATGCTCATTGTGATTAAATAAAGAGTAAGAGGACTGGTATTTGGGAATGAGCAAAGGTTTTAAGGCTGAATAAATCTGGATATGGACTTCCATTCCAATACTTGGTGTTGTATAATTAACCTTGAGCTATTCACTTAATCTCTCTGAGCCCCAGTTTCCTCATGTATAATAAGATAGTCACCTTATATATTTATTATGAAAATAAGAGAAGATATGTCAAGGACTTAGTACGTAATAGGTCCTTAATAAATGGAAAGATGTTAGGACTTTTGCCTTTTCGTTTCTTGCTATACTTCTTAAGTGAATTCTTACCACAACACAAAGCTGTATGTACAGAAAAGAAGGAAGGAAGGAAGGAAGGAAGGAAAAAGGAAGAAAGAGGAGAAACCAGAGTAGCCATAAAACAAAACTTACTGCTTCTTTTATCATGTCCCTAAGTTGTTGGGAAAAAAGAAATCCTGAGAATTTTAAGAAAAGAACGTTTGTTTTTTATTACTGTATAAAACAAAGTCTTGGAAGTTTGGTTCTCATTTGTAGCACACAGAGATGTTGAGTTGCAACATCTTTAGTAGGTTTTCTGCTGGATTTCGAGAGAAACTTTAGATAATATATTTATCAATCTAAAACAATAAGTGTAAAACCACAGATACATAAGATGTATTCCCAGATGTCAATATTGTTTTTTTAAAAGAATAAACTATTAGTGCCTTTGAAAGGCTATTTTCTTAATTTTGACAGAATAGAATCCAAACATCTCAGGCAAATAAACATCAAAGAACTCCACAGGGTGGAAAACAAAAAAGAACTCCACAGAAAAAGAGTCAGTATTCTCCATTCATAATCAATTTTCAAGCTGTGTTATTAAAACACTAAAATATCTTCAAAGTCATTATTACCACTGTATGGGTTAGAGTTTGGTGTTGCTGCAAGCAACAGAAACCCCAGCTAACAGTGGTTAAACATGCATTTTTCTCACATTAAAAAAAATCATAAAGAAGGTGCTGCTGGTATTGGGTCAGTGGTTCAATGATTTCATCCCCATTGTCTGAATCTTTCAGGCTTTCCCTCATGATTGCTATCTAATAGTCAAAAGACGACTCTTAGATCAACAGATAGCATGTCCAAGTTCATGGTAGAAAAAAAGGAATGATTGGCAATTCCAGCTGTCTCTCTTTCATCAGCAAAAAAATCTTCGTAGAGACTCCAAAGACTTCTTAAAAAGTGGGAGAAGTATTTAATTTTCCAGTCCCTAAAATGGAAATGACAAGAGAAAATAGGGGTATGACAAGAGAAAATGCCAACTGTTGAGTTGGCAAACAGTGTTTCACACCATTGAGAAACTGCTTGTTCTAAAGTCTACAAATTTAGCTGAATAGAACTGTTACCTACATTAATTTTCCTGCCCTTAGAAGATGCCATTTTCTAATTTTGCTTTCTATGTATTTGAATATTAATATTAGTTCACTCAACATTTTTTCCTATAGCAAATATATGAATTCCCTTAATACTAGATTTGATATCAGGTGTTGAATAGTTTGGTTTGTTGTTGTCTTATTGTTTCTACCAGGGTAAAAATTTTCTCTTTGGTAGCAGTCGTTTATTGCTTGGAATGTGATGGTTTTGCATTGCTGAATCCATACATAAATTATTTTACAGATAGGGAGGTAAAATATTTGTTTTTATTGTTCAATTCTTAACCTAGTGTTTTTGAAATAATTCCACAAGTATTCTGGAGTCTCACATAATTTCAACATGCAAGACTAATTTTTCTTTCCCTTTTATGAAACCATTAGACCATTAAAACTATTTAGTGATATTCATCCCATCTGGGAACATTGGAGTGACATTTGCTTTGGCTTTCCCCACCTTTTTTCCTCATAGGTTGATCATTTTTGCCAAGCTACGACCTGATATTAATATATTTTAGAGGCTTTCTTTCTTTTTCTTTTTCTTTCTTTCTTTCTTTCTTTCTTTCTTTCTTTCTTTCTTTCTTTCTTTCAAGAGAAGAAGCCAATACAATGGCTACTCTTTATTGGAAAGAAGGAAGTTTACAGCACATTTTGAGTAAGTTAGCATAAAGGCTCAGTGGGGCCACTGGTGGGGCACCAGCTGGTAACAATCTCCACAGTTAGGGTATTGCTGGGTCTCGCCTTTGTGCAGCTGGAACCAGATGAGATGAGAGCACTATTGTCCTCTTCATAGATACAACCCACTATTTGCTTGTTAGTGAGAGATGGGGACAAAATTAGAATCCTCCTTGGTGCCTAAAGCTGCCTTTGGGGCTAGCTATTGTAAGGGTCCAGTCCCTTCCAAGCAGCCATCATGGCCTCCATTTCCAGCCCAGTCATCTGGTCATCATCAGTAGGAACACCACTTCCAGATGCTATGGAGTGCACAGCAATGACTCCATTGGGACTGCAGGCCCTCATGGGCCCACACAAAATAACTAAACTTTCATTTATTGCAGTGTTTCTTATATCAAAGTGGCTATCTCCAACTTTGTATGTCTATTTGGTGTGGGGGCTAAATATGGAATTTAGGGGAGAAGGACAGCATAAGGCAAAGCCTTTTCCTTTGAAGAATTGTGTATCATGGATTTGATTCTGGAAAACTGTGAAGTACTGATTGTTAAATGCTTGTCAGCCTTTCAATCTTTGTTTTCCCTTTATATTGAGGATTTTAAAAAAATAACCAAGTGGAATGATATGAATTCCTCAAATTCATTGTGAGCCTTTGTTCCTTCAGGCATTTTTGGACAGAAACTGGAAGACACTGTCCGTTATGAGAAGAGATATGGGAACCGTCTGGCTCCAATGCTGGTCGAGCAGTGTGTGGACTTTATCCGACAAAGGGGGCTGAAAGAAGAGGGTCTCTTCCGGCTGCCGGGCCAGGCTAACCTCGTCAAGGAGCTCCAGGATGCCTTTGACTGTGGAGAGAAGCCATCATTTGACAGGTAGATTTCAAGATTTCATTAATCATTTGCACTGAGAAATCCAAACTGAACAGAAAGGATGCAGTGAGCTGAGACAAGAGAACCTTAATTGATGTTATAATGGTTTTTAGAATATGAATTATATAGCCACACAAGGGTGGATTATTTTTATTAATTTACAGAGTCAAAATTTTAACACTTTAGATGTCTTTCTCCTGGATACTTTTTGTCCCTCTTGAAACATGATTATTTCTTCTTCTCCTTTGGTCCTAAATTAACCCCGTGTTAAACTTTTGCATCAGAAAAGTGAACGTTTAAAATAGGAGTCTTGGGGCGCCTGGGTGGCTCAGTTGGTTAAGCAACTGCCTTCGGCTCAGGTCATGATCTCAGGGTCCTGGGATCAAGCCCCGCATCAGGCTCCCTGCTCGGCGGGAAGCCTGCTTTTCCCTTTCCCACTCCCCCAGCTTGCGTTCCCTCTCTCACTGTCTCTCTCTCTGTCAAATAAATAAATAAAATCTTAAAAAAAAAAAAAAGGAGTCTTCTCCTGTTCAGTGTTTTTTTTTAATTCTTTCAGCTAAAAGATATTAAAAGTATTAATAAGCAGAGATTGGGGATATAGGCAATGTAATTAAAATAACTGTTTTTAATAATAATAAGCATTATATTTTTCAATATATAGCTTCACCTTAATCTAGAATAGATTTACAAGGCAACAAGAAGTATAGAATGATGAAATTCAGGGACTAATGGAAGTTCCAGGAAAGAGCATATAAAGCATCCATAATTCCACTCATGAAGAGTTAAATACCGCAATATTTTGTAAACTACCTCCTTCTCTTCACTTTTTTAATTAGTAGAAAATAATATTTTTTATCCCAATATTATCAATTTAGCATAGTGAAGCAGATAGTTTTCATATTAATATTTGAAATATCCCCAATATTACAATATATTTTAACTGAATACTTGATGGTTGGCAACCTCTGTAAGCATAATTTTCATACCTACTATTTCACTCTACAAGTATATTGTTCATAACCATTTCAACAATTGGGACATTATGTCATCACTTTTATCACTACTATAAATAATGTTGTAGAGGATATCCATTTACATAAATATTTTCTATTTTTGGATTATTTCCTCAGGAGAAAATCTCAGTATTGGATGTTGTGGATAATAATAGTCTTATTCTTGAAAATTGAAAATTGCATACTAAGTATTATTACTCTTTGAAAGCATAGAATTAGCACATGGACAGACACTGACCTACGGAACAGATAGACAAGAAGACACTTGAATACATGCTATAAGACAAAGGACGCATCTTTGGGAATATGGACTTCTGCTAATAATCCAAGAAATGTACATTAAATCCTTTAATGAATGCCCTTCCTCTAGTAACATTAACAAAATCTTGAACAATGGTAATACTCAGTGCTGGCAAGGTATATTAAGGTAGGCACCCTGATGGTAAGAGTGCAAATGATTATAGTCTTTCTAAAGAAATTTGGTAATATATTTCAAGACCGTTTTAGCAGGAAATTCTAGTCCTAGAAAAAAGTCAGATCTGTGGAAAAAAACTTAAGTGCAAAGTGGCTTATTACAATTTTTGTAATAGTAGAAAATGAACACCAATCTATTATCTCCCGCAGTAGAGTATGGTTAATTAAATAATAGTGCATTAATATAATAATGTTATGCAATTATTAAAATTTTGGAAAAATGCTAAAGCTATCCAATAATAAGTGGAAATAACAAATGGAAAAATAAGACAGGATCAATTAATTGATTAAAATCCTACCTGTTTACAGCAAGTATTACAGACAGTTTATAGACATTCATAATTTATCTCTGAAAGATAAAAATTAAATGTGGAGGCAAAGAAATGAATTCAAAACCAGGGTTGGAGAACAAATTTCAAAAACACAGATATCCTTTTGGCAGGGGAGCCCCATGTCTTATTTTATACTTTGAAAAAGAAAACCTAAACAGTAGTTGCAAATTCAGGCCTATTCACAGGACATACACAATAGTTTATCTAGAAGAAATGTAATTTTTAAATTGTTTTTAATTCTTTCAATTTCCAAAATTGAAAGAAATTTGTCGAGTGGGATCCTTATAATAAAATATCATATAATGGGATAAACAACATCTTCTACAATGAACTTCATGTGACATTGATAAGTTTCAATGGCTTTTTCTTATATCATATGTGGCCTACTATATATGCAGATGACATTATAGAAAAGTATATTTATTAAAAATTATTTTACTATAGGCATTTATGATTTGGTTCTTACAACAAGATTCTCGCTAATATGAAAGAATGGAGGGATATTTATAAGTTTTAAGATCCTATAAGAAAAGATATGCCTTGTAAGCAGTTATCTCCAAATCATGTTCTTAATACTGAGCTGATAATGGAATCGTGTGCAATCTTTATATAAAATACGATCTCACTTATAAAAGAAATTATTTATTTTTTGTATGAAATACATAAATGCATAAACAGACTGAAGAAAATGTAACAAAAGATAAACATCGATTTTGTGGGATAGTGAAGGATGTTTTCCTTCTTTTTTTTCAATATTGTGATTCCAATAAGCATCCATTACTTTTATAATCAGAAATTTCATCTGAAAGATCTTTTAATTACCTGGTGATTTCATGCTACATAAAAATCTCCTTTCTTTTAATTTCGAAAGAGTGATTACAGAAGCTACTTGTCAACTAGAAAACCTGTAGAAAAGAGTTGGGGAAAGTATTTGAATGTTAGCACAATATGGTAACGCCACTAGCATCCCGCGAGGAAAAGGAGAGTGTTCTTCATTTGCTCAGTCATTCAGTGTTTCAGGTCCGTAACAAACCATGCCAGAACTTTGTGACTTAAGTAATAACAACTGGCTATTGCTCATGGTTCTGCCCTTTGGGCAGGAGCTGGCCAGGATGTGCTCCTTTCTCCTGCACATGATGTTGATTCACGAGATCAGTTAGATCTGAAGGATCCAGGATGGTTTTACTCAGATGTCCAGCGCCTTGTCCAAGATGGCTAACATGGCTGGAGGTTGCTTGGGCCTTTCTTTCTCTCTCTCTCCTCCTTCCCTTCCCTTCCGCCCTCATGCCCTCCCCACAACCTGCCACCCCTCCTCTCCCCACCTCCTCCCACCCTCCCTCCCTCCGTCTCTCTTTCTCTGTCTCTCCCTCTATAAATCTCACATCTAATAGAGCTGCTCGGCATATGGCCTTTATCTCTAGCAGATTAGTCAGACTTATTGACATGATACCTCAGGGTTCCAAGAAAATGAAAAGGGCAGTTTGCAAGCCTCACAAGGGCTGGGTCGGGAGGACAGTGTGATTCCTGGTGCAGTCTGTTGGTCAAAGCAAGTCACAAGACAGGCCCCCCTACATGGAAAGAGGGGCAAGCACTTGAACAGAAGGAAGATTTGTGGGAGGCTATTTTTAGAGAAAATCACCACAGCTTTAAAGTCTTGAAATCAAGGGGAGTAAATCCCCTTTGTTCTTTCTCAAGATTGTTTTGCCTATTCTAGGTCATTTACATCTCCATAAAAAAAAAAGAAAAGAAAAGAAAGAAATTTAGCACATGCTTGCCAATTTGCACAAAAAAAGTCGGTGAGGATTTTGATTGACTCCAGAAATCAACTGGGAGAAAATTGATATCTTAGAAATATGAAAGCTTCTTTTTTTAAATTTTATTTATTTATTTTTAATAGAAATATGAAAGCTTCTAATCCATGAACATGGCCCATCTCTCCATTTCATTAGAACTTTTTGCATTTCAGCAACGTTTTATATTTTTCAATGTTCAGATCTTGCTCCATTTTGTTAAATTTATCCTTAAGTATTTACTATTTATAGATGCTCCTGTAAATAGTATTGTTTTTAATACTTAATTTTCTAATTGCTCACTGCTGGATTATCCAAATACAATTGATTTATATAGAGAGAGAGATCTTTGGTCCTACAGATTGGCAAGTTCATTTATTAGTGCTCGTGGGACTTTGTAGATCCCTTAGGATTTTCTAGGGACATAATCTTGTTGACCGTACCTAGCAAGAGTTTTATTTCTTCCTTTTCAATATGTAGGCCTTGTATTTCTTTTTCTTGCCTGTTTGTACTTGCTAAGAACTTGTCTACCATAGTAGTGAGTGGACATACTTCTCTTGTATGTAGAGGGAGGTTTTCAGTCTTTCACTGCCACGTGTGACGATAGCCTTATGTTTTCCGTAGATGACCTTTATGGGGTTAGAAAATGTCCTTTTATTTCTAGTTTGCCGACATTCTTAATAATGAATGAGAATTAAATTTTATAAAATCCATTTCTTTCTGCATTTATTGCAGAAATTATCTGATTCTTCCCTTTTGTGATGTTAATGTCCTGAATTACATTAATCTATTTTCAAATATTAAACCAAATTTATGTCGCTAGGATAAGCCACATTTGCTTGTGATGCATTACTCTTTTTATATATCGCTGTATCTGACTTGCAAACAATTTGTTAAAGACTTGGGGACTTATATTCATCAAGGGTATTGACCTGTAGATTTCTTATAGTATCTTCAACTAGTTTTGTTATCAGAGAAATTCTGCACCCCTATTGGTTGGCAAGTATTGCCTCTACCTCTATTTTCTCAAAGAGTAGGTGTATTTTGTATTATTTCCTCTATAAATCTTTGGTAAAATTTACCAGTGATATCATCTAGTCCTGAAGTTATCTTCATGGGGAAGTTTTTAGAGATGGCTTTTCGAATTTTTCTTGTGTCAGTTTTGGTAATTTGTCTCTTTCATGATATTTTCCCATTCCATATAACTTTTCAAATTTATCATCACGAAGTTGTTTATAATATTCCTTTTCTGTATTGTCTGTAGACTTTTTAGTGAAGTCCTCTCCTTTACTTCTGATATTAGTGATTTGTTACATCATTTTCTCTTAATCAGTCTATTTGTGTATTATCAATTTCATTAAACCTTAAAAAGAACCAGTTTTTAAGAGAGAACC